CTCTAACTACTGCTTGATTGGTAATCAATCAAAATAAGTGTAATACACCTGACATGTAACTAACATGTATACGAAGTAAACTTAATCAACACCTTTCGTTAATAACCACGTGGCTACATATGTGCGAATGAGGACACTTCTGACATCAGAAAAATATACAACAATGAGATAAAGGCTCCTTGAGGGGGAATCCCTACTGTCTTCTGCGTGATAATGACAAACTTGTTTGCAAATATAGGATAAAACAACAAGAAACGTAAAGGTCATGAAACTAAGATAAAGGTAGAAATCTAGAAAGAGGGAATGAATGAGAAAGTGAGAAAGTGATTGAGAAAGAAAGAGAAATGGAAAGAAAAAGACAGGTCACGATTAGTTTTACATCTCTGTTATTAACAACAGAACTAATTATTCCTAAGACTCTACCGGCAGTAGTAACACGAGTTTGTGGACGGGTCTATCAAGGTAACAAGGTTTCTTCAGACGTTTGCCATTACTGTCCAGAGCTCCATCAGCCATGAGGAGCTTTACCTTTCTAACGCGTCCGTCTTGACTAGGAAAAACTTCTGCTACCCTTGCCAGAGGCCACTGGAGGCGAACATCTTCAGTCTCCTTCGCGATGACTACATCGCCGATGGCCAAGTCTCTCTGCGTTCGCGTCCACTTCTGGCGGGGCTGTAACTGCTGGAGGTACTCTCGGCGCCAGCGTAGCCAGAATTCATTGGCTAGATACTGCACACGTCGCCACCACTTTCTAGAGTACTTGTCTTCGCCCTGGAAGTTTCCAGGTGGTGGTAAGATTACTTTCGGCTTCATTGTCAGAAGATGGAGTGGGCACAGAGGTTCTGGTGCTTCGGCGTCACTCAGGTTATTGGTGGTGAGAGGTCGAGAGTTGACGATACATTCTGCCTCTGTCATACAAGTTCGAAAAGATTCGTCGTCAAGCTGGCTGCCTGCCTTAGCAAGTAAGGTGTCCAAGGCCCTTCTCACCGTCTGAATCTGCCTCTCCCAGACACCGCCCATGTGCGAGGAATGTGGAACGTTGAATTTGAATGGTATCCACTCAACACCATTCTCTAGAAGGTATTCTTGCACATGCTTCTGGTCCATTTCTTGTAGAGCTTGTTTCAACTCGTTTCTGGCCCCAATGAATGTTGTGCCTTGATCTGAACGGAGCTGTCGAACAGTTCCTCTTCGATTCATGAACCTCCTCAAGGCATTGATGAAGGAAGAGCTGGAAAGGCTGTTCGCAGTCTCAAGATGGATGCTTCTGGAAGACATACATGTGAAAAGGACACCATACCTCTTCACCTCGCTTCTCTTTTCCTTTAAAAGGAATGGACCGAAGTAGTCGACTGCACAGTAGGTAAAGGGGGCAGAAGGTTCAACTCTCTCCCTCGGTAGCTCCGACATCTTCTGCTGCACGAGAGGCCCTCGTAGTTTTCTGCATGTTACACACTGTGAGATGAACTGTGAAACTGCAGAGGAACCTCCTATCACCCAGTAACCTCTTTGGCGAAGCTCGTTGCGGGTTAAGCCACGGCCCATGTGATTGACTCTACTGTGGCAATCATCGATCAGCAGTCTGGTGACATGGCATTTTCGGGGCAGGATGATTGGGTGTCTGATCTCTCTGGAAATATTTGCCCTGTCTATACGGCCACCAACTCTGATAATTCCATATTCGTCGAGAAAAGGATCAAGTCTATAGAGACAGCTCGTCTTCTTGAGTTCAGCATTCCTGGCCCTGGTCGCTTGTCTATCAGTGACCTCTCCTGTAGCTTCCAGATTCCTCAGAGCCTGCATTTCCTCCAGGAAATGTTCTGCTTGTACACTTTTAAGGATCACCCTTTCAGCACTCTGCAGTTCGCCTAGAGAAAGCGACTCCTTGAAGGACGGCCTTTCAGCATCTGGAGATGAGCTCGAGATTTTCACAGCCTTGTTCTGCAGCTTGCCTTTGAGTTGAATACATCTGGCTACTGCCTTCTTTGCCCTGTGCCAGTTGGAAAAGCTATCCAGACGGCTAGTTTCCTTCTCATCTCTTGCTCCTGTTTTAAGGGCAGTAGCACGCTTTAACTCTGGATCGCTTTCTTCCAGCTGGACGGGCGGCCTTGTAGGGTTGACTTCAAATATACCATCCGTCCAGAGAAATTCTGGTCCTCTCAGCCAACGGCTGTCTTGGGTAAGCTGCTTAGCAGACAATCCTCTTGAAGCGTCGTCTGTTGGATTCTCGGATGTGTCTACGTAGCGCCACATATCAGGATCTGTCAGGTCTCGGATCATCTGGATCCTGTTGGCTACATAGACATGGAATCTTCTGGCTTCATTCTGTATGTAACCCAGGACTACTTTGCTGTCAGTCCAGAAGAATTCCTTGAAGCTGTCATACTTGAGCTCCTGGTTCAGAAATCCACTCATTCTGGCTGATACTGTAGCTGCAGTTAGCTCGAGCCTTGGTATGCTGACCTGCTTCAGCGGGGTTACTCGGGACTTCCCGATAACAAAGGAACAGTGGACCTTGTCTTGGGTGTTGACAAGTCGGATGTAGGAACACTGTCCATATCCCTCTTGGCTTGCATCCAAAAAGTGGTGAAGCTCCACTGCCTTGACTTCACCAAAATCACGTGGCTTGTAACATCTGGGTATCTGGAGGTTCTCCAACTCAAGCACCTCCTGCAGCCATCTTTCCCAGCGTGGACGGAGATCTTCTGGTATTGGACTGTCCCAGTCCAATTTGCTTCGGCAGAGCTCTTGCAGGATTTGCTTTCCTCTCAACATAACGGGGCTAAGGAAGCCACAAGGATCGTAGAATGAACTCACTGTTGAGAGAACTCCTCGTCTGGTGAAAGGCCGTTCCTTGAGCTCTATCTTGAAGTTGAAGACGTCATTCTTGATGCACCAAACGACTCCGAGAACTCGTTCTAGAGTCGATGGACTTCGAGCTAACCCAAGCTCCTTTTTGTCCGTAAGCCCTTCCTTCTTGGTGAAACTCTCTTGCACTTCCCTTTCATTGGATACAATCTTATGCAGTGTTAGACCTGCTTTTGCACAGATCGCCTGACTGTTCTTGAGAAGCTGGATCGCCGATGCAACATCTGGCTCGGATCTCAAGCCGTCATCAACATAGAAATCTGTCCTGATGTAGTTAGCTGCTGGCGCTCCATATTCTTCTTCTCCATCATCTGCAGCTCTTCTCAAACCGAACGTAGCTACTCCTGGTGAACTAGCCGCACCAAACAAGTGTACCTTCATGCGGAATTCCACAACAGCATTCTCGGGGTTTCCATCTTCCCACCACAGGAATCTCAACAGGTCTCTGTCTTCTGCTGCTGCGTAGAACTGATGGAACATACTTTTCACATCAGCGGCTACAGCTACTGCTTCCTTACGGAACCTGCAAAGCACTCCCAGGAGGCTGTTCATGGTGTTTGGACCTTGAAGTAGCATGTCATTAAGGGACACACCTTGATAAGTAGCAGAGCAATCAAAGACCACTCTGATCTTGTTGGGCTTTCTAGGGTGATACACGCCAGTATGAGGAATGTAATTAACCCGATCCTGTATCTGAAGACGGTCAGCTGGCACTCTCTCTGCATAATTCTGGATGACGTCATCCATGAATGCTCTGTAGCCTTCACAAAATTTGGGGTTCTTCCGCAACCTTCCAGACAGCTGCTTCCATCTCTTCATAGCAAGTGGCTTGTTAAAGGGAAGGTTTGGTTTTGCAGACTTCAGAGGCAGCGGCATCTCATAGTGGCCGTCTTCACGTCTGCGGATACCACTCTCCAGGATCTCCATGAATCTTGTTTCCTCCACAGAGTAAGGCTCACCATTAGCACCTGAGTCCTTGAAGTCTTGTTCCAGAATCTGTATGATTTTCTCAGTGTCCAGGATCTCCTTGGCCTTACTCGCATAGGCAAACTTTGGATGCTTCTCAATTGCAGATATCCTATTGCAGATCAGGACTCCATCATCCTGTACCGACGTCTGGCATACCTTGCCAACTACTCCCCATCCAAGTGCTGTCTTCATGGCATACGGGTCATCTTCTCCTCCTGCTATCACCTCTCGAGGGCGGATGGCTCGGGAACAGTTATTTCCAATTAAGAGCGATACCTTGACGCTTCTGTTATATGGCGTCAACTCATGAGCAACTGGCTCGAGATGAGGCCACTCCTTCAGGACTTCAATCTTGAGGATCTGGGATCTGCTAGCAGGAATAGACTCTCTAGAGAAGCACGGGGGTAGGTCAATCTCGTTCTCCCTATTGAAGTCCAACACCTGTAAACCGCTCACTTTCATGCTCCTGACATTGGCCGTTGCGTGCATGGTGGTGAGCCTGAGGGTAGTATCAGTTCCCTGTACTCCTAACTGCTCACACAGTTCGTCCGAAACGAAGCCTACATTACTCTGATCATCTAGGATGGCGTAATGGAGGAACTCCCGGGAAGGCTCGTCCTTGCATCTCACCCAGACTGGCACGATCATGCAGTGCTCCTGGCCATCTTGATCTGGAAGAGAGCATACGTTGGTGCACTTGGATGAGCCTTCCTCGTGTGGCCTTCTCTGGTTATTCCTTGGTCTATGCAGACAGGCAAGGTGGCGCCCTTCACAGACCTTGCAAACCTTCCTCTGAGTGCAGTCCTTGACCTGGTGACTGTCAGCAACGCCGCAACCCATACACAAGTTCTTTTGAAAGAAGAAACCCTTCCTTTCATGTAACAATTTCTTTGTAAATTCGTGACAGTCATCCAAGTGATGCTCTCTCCCACAGTACGGACATGAGGAATACTCTCCCACGTTTGTCTTTGAAGATACATTTGTTGCAAAGGTCTTCCCTCTCGGCTGGTTGCGATTGCTGCGGTCCCCTTCGTACCGCCTTGGTCGTGCCTCACCACTTCGATTGCTGCGGTCACCTTCGTACTGCCTTGGTCGTGCCTCACCACTTCGCAGACCCTCTAGCTCAGGGATGTTGGCCTTGTTGGCGGCTCTGCTGACAAACTCGGCAAAGACTTCAAGTAGGGTAGTTCCCAAGACCCCTTGTCTGCCATTTATTTACCTCATCCCGCCATGACCTTTCTAGATGTAGGGGCAGTTTGTTCAACATCTTTATGTTTTCTTGAGGATAGTCCAATATCCCCAAGGATGACTCCGTTGACTTAGCCGACACCACCTGCTCTAGAAAGTCAGAGAATTGACGGAGTCCTCCAGGATCCTTGTCGAAGATACGTGGCCAGCTGCTCAGCTTCTTCGAAAATGCTGTACTGATAATACTGCCACTGCCGTATCTTTTTTGTAACAGTTCTGTGGCTTGGAAATATGCCTCGTCTGTGCCCAGCAGGATGTAGTGCTCTACGACCTTCCTTGGCAGTCCTGCTACGTAGCTATTCAAATAGCTCAGCTTGGTAGCTCCGTCGAGGGGTTTGGAGTCCACCAAGTTTGAAAAGGCATTTTTCCAAAGCCTGTACCGTAAAGGATCGCCACTGAATATAGGTATCTCTAACTTTGGAAGTTGACTAGCAACAGCAAGTCTCTGTGTCGTCATATTCTGTTGCATGATGGCCTTTGCCATATCAGTCATCGACTCTGCCATCTTTTCAAACCCTGTCTGGCTAGAGGTGCCGTCAAGAGGAGGAGTTGCTGTGCCAATTGTCACGTCTTGCTGAGATTTGAAGAATCTGTGGACGGAATCTCCTGGCTGTTCCTTTGGCAAGGTAATATGTTCGATGGCGGCTTCAGAGCCATCACTCTCTTCATCTCCTTCCAACTCCGCTATTCTAGCAGCCGTCTCCTTTCTCAGCTTCACTTTTTGTAACTTCCGTTCCTCCTTCTGGACTGCTCTCACAGCATGCTCGCGCTCAGCCTTGAGAGCATCAAGCCTGTCCTCGTGGTCCATGACAGCTAGTTCTGCTTGAAAGGCTTCTGTCAACCTCGCACTCTCACGAGACTTCCGTGAGCTTGCTACACTTGTAGCCTTCGTGATGACTGCATCACATTGTCCTGCTTCCACATCGCTCTTGGTGAACTTAACACCTGCTAGACTCCTAGCCTTCGATCTGGAAGTCCTCTCTGTTGTCGCTCCACGTCGCAATGCAGGCTCTGATAAAGGCATGACTTCAGGCCTTTATAAACCTAGGTCTGCTTACAAGTTCATTAAACTGCTGCGAAAGTCTTTTAATTGATGTTCGATTGTCATTCGAACTTCATTCGTTATTGTGGAACTTCGCTTGTTATTCGACTTCGAATAACAGACTTCGATTGTTATTGTGGCTGCCTTCATAAATCTTTATATGAAGGAGTTTCGTCTAACAATAAATCCAACTGTTGTTATTCACAAGGCACACCGATGAAAATGAACACTGGAAACAATTTGCTAAAGTCCAACCAACTTCTGTTTTATTCAGCAACTCGTAACTTCACTTTCATATCTTCGGTAAAACCTTCAGATAACAATCTGTAATGATAATAAACAAACAAACAAATAATGAATAAATGTTTCAGCATGTAAGCATATAAAAACCCTATAGCTAAATTAAAGATACTGATTACAACACATTAATATATGACACAAGATTAAAGTTAAACTGGATTAAATATCTATGTGAACACACCCTGCATTGAAACTATGCAGTAAACTATTAAACAGTACACACAAGCAAAGGTACATGAGTGTGAACAGGCCGCATTCAGATGCGGTTCGTCACTTAAGTTCCTGTGCTAAATAACTAACAAAGAAAATTGTTTCTTTCCTAAACACTTAGTTTTGCTCTAAATTCGACATGAACTATATATATAATAAACAAGTTATCATCTACATAGTAGCAGAATCTTTGCTACTTTGAAACACTTAAATGTACTGTAACTTCTGCTGACAAAGACAAAGAATTCGGCTTTCTACACTATACATTATACACACTCATCTCTTTGTCTACTCCTAAAAGCTAGGTACAACATTTAACATCATCTTTACGAAACTCCTATAAAATTCTACCAAACTCAACTGAGATTATATTAAGATACATCCTAGCATTCTAGTATATATCAAATAACATATATAGAAATAGATATCGTATTCTTACCGAATTGGGCCTGTAGTTTGTTCCACAAAATAACTAAAAACTTTCTGCTGCAATGTTATGTAACTCGGACCTTACTGCATCACTTCGACATTCAGAATGACTGGGGTTTGCTTCTCCCAGAACATAGGTGGAGGAGAACAAAGAACTTCCTGTCTCTGTGACTAGTAGTATAATCTTAAAGTAAACAATAGCCCCCAAGATATGCTGGTAGGCATATTAAGACACTGGTAGTCTCATAATAAGACTCTTCAAACTATATAAGAAATGCACATTTCTTCACTACATCCTGATGTAGTGACAGTTATATTTATAATATAGGTGTATATTAACGCATGTATATTTTACATGAATCTATAATAAAATACTGAAAAATATCATTCTTGTGAGTTTCATGCTTATATTATCAAACTGTTTATTATTCATGTTTGACAAGTACTCATGTTTTTTAAGGCATCTTCCTCCTTCATGTTAAAAACGGACAGTATAATAAACAGTTTAATGACTAGTACAAACAAATATGATAACAAATTTATATGTAATTTTTATAATTTTGATAAATTTCGTGTGAATTGTGACGATAATAGAGCACTATATATTTTGTTTATAAATAATTTTGGATAACTGCGTTGTAAATACGTTTATGCGACTGTATATTTTCTTTAAAATTAAATGTCTTGTTTCTCACTCCATGCCTTGCATGTGTTTAATTGGTTTGAGAGACGTATGCAAGAAAGAACTATAATTTGTTTCCATGGAGGGCATACGGAAGAAAAATGTATGAAGTTAGATGTACAAGACAAACGGGACAGTTGTCCTTAACTACTTCACGATCCACAGGCAAAAGTGCCAACTTGATAATCGCATATATCATATATCAAACGTTAAAAACTCTTTCATTATTGGTAATATTTATTTCAAACTTTCTCCATTCAGATTGCCTCATTTGTCTACTGTCATATAAATGGGATCGGATTCCCACCCCCTCCCCTTGCCCATATGGGAGGGATGACGTTATAAAGGAAGTTTATCCAGAGTGTGATGAGGGGAGGGGGTGGATTCCCATTCAGTAGATACTATCTGCGCATGGGTAGAAAATGCTATAAGTTCCGAACGCATACAGATGACAACTGATATGTGGTCATGACAAATCATTATTCATTATTCATACATACTGGGGCCCGTTGCATAAAACTAACCATTGATGGTAACTTTGCCATCGACGGTAACTACCATGGTAACAGGGCGCAACTGCCAATCAAAATCAAGGTTTCCATGGTAGTTACCATTGATGGCAAAGTTACCATCAATTTTTAAGTTATTTGCAACGGGGCCCAGGTCAGACGTGAATCTAGAAGAATACCGGGGAATGCGGTCTAAAAGGCGTGGGGGAATGGGTGGGTGTGGGGATTGAAGAAACTGATGATTTGGAAATGCACAAACTTCTCACTGTTTAAAAGATCTTTTGAAAGGATCAGAGCCATATATAGACAGAGTGACTATTGAAATACAATTATTCATACTGGGTGAATGAAATAATTTGTAATAAAGCAGATAACAAAGATTTATGCATAAATTTAATTAAATTACGAAAATGGTCTCTTGTTTGATCTTTCAAGTTTTCTCTAAAGTGATCGCTTTACAGCAAACATATATATTGACAATATAAACACTTAATTGCAATTGGATACTCATCAATAGTAATCTGTCAGTTTATGACAGGTTCAGTGACCCATTCAAAATTCTATAGCAGCCTTCCAATAACTACTTATTTATTGTTTTTATCAGAATACACATGAACGTCTTTAAAAAATAGGCCTACTTTTGTCTATATCTAACTGAAATTTGTGTAATCAAATATTCATCAAGACCACTATTTACGGAATGCATTAGTAACAACATATATTGTAGTTACAAATCACATGGGATTTTATTATATTACTATACATCACAACAAAAAGATGTTCTTTCACTAATGCGTTCGTAAATAGTGACAGTGATATATGACACGGTTAACGCATCGGTTTAAACCATGTTGAAGTCTTTATTTGTATACAGATACAAAAAGGTAATGAGAGCACGATTGAAGGTTAATCAAGTTAAGAATAATCAATTTATCCCACTTCAAAAGATTCTTTATTGTGAAGTAATTATTATTTTGCATCGAAATTGCGATCCTATGATACAGTTGATCCGGCTAATCAATGTTGTAATCCACCAAATTGCTCATCTTTAGATCTGCGACTACTTCTTCTTTACTTTTTCATAATATTTTGACCCCTCGTCACCCCCAGATAAGTCGGAGGTCAAGTGCTCTGACGTCACTATCTCTAATCAAACGGTTGACATACACATTCATTGTGAATGAAACACACTCTTCCAATATTTGTTTTGCTTGAAGAATGTAAACTATCACCTGATTTAACATTTCAATTAAATTGAATTTCTCCCTGCATATAGAATACAATTTAAAACAAGTCAAACCAGAAAGACAACCTGATACGACATGAATATCCCATCTTGAATCATAATGCAATGCAATAATAAAGGTAAATGAATCGGTAAGTAGGTCATTCGATCCCATATTTGTCTTCGAAAAGTTTATTTCTTCTCTAATTTCCTTATTTCCCACAAGGTAACACTATACAATTAAAACTTTTTTGCGAGTGCATTAGTGAATTTGCACTGCATGTAGGTTACTAATTCACAGTAGGATAACGAACGAGACTTGTTGAGTTCATTGTTCATCTTATTGTGACGTCATGAAGTGCAGTGCATATGATTAATGTACGAACTATAACACGTGAATTATTGGATTCAATAGATGGATCTACAATATGAGTATAAAGTCTAGAAAATGACGGTTGGTATCACCAAAATGCACTCCCCGTGCACATATGGTAAAATATAATACACGCACACGTGATCCAATTCGCCACTTCATATTGGCTTTATTCCTGACCCCATTTAAAAGAAAAGACTATTTAATGAACATGACCTATAGAATAATTATCCTATTATATTTGGTCCATTAAAGTCTTGTTCAGAATTGGCGCGGTAATCCGCCGCAAAAATAAAATACGCTGCATTTTTAAAACTTTTTATTATGCTATTTTGTTTTAATGTGTAAATGAATGGCAACTGTGCGTATTCACTGAGCTCTTTCTTATTGAGATACACAAACATAAAGCGCATTACACTTTACGTCATCATAAGATAAAAATTGCAGGGGTTTTGCCGCAGTTTTGCACGTCGTATCTGAACGAGCCTTAATACATGCTTTTTGTATTACTACATAGCGATTCGATTTTGTTTATTGGAGTCGCCCCCCCCCTCTCTCTCTCAAACGCACACACACCCACACACACCCAAATAAAGATAATCGGGAGCAAACTATAAAAGGGTCATTGAACAAAAAAATCGTGTGATGTAACAATGACAAGAGCTAGAGACAATTAATTGGATGGGGTAGGTGGACAGTTATCGTTGTTTCCATCCCAAAAAGAAAGGTATGAAGTGGAAACGTTAAGGGAAAGTGCTAAACGGTGTTGAATTGGAGAGAATGGAGAGAAGCGGGACAGAAGAAAAGGGGACAAGTGAGAGGAAAGTAAAGTGGGTGTGCCAGTCTGTGAGTGGGAGATTTATATATATATATATATATATATATATATGTATGGTTCATGTAACACGTCTGACTTCTCTACGATTCGTAACAGACTAGATGTTTTCTTCAAATTAAATACCGAAGATATTATTAACAAACTCAAAACATTTACCCCCCCCCCTCCCAATGATAATACTCTCAATCTTCTCTCAGCGGCTACCTCTATAGAAAGGCAAGCTGTCTATCAGCGTGTCCACACACAAACAAATTTATCCCAAAACTCTATAAAGAAACATCGTATACAGAATCATCGTATAGCGAACAGGGCGTCCACACTCACACAAGGCAAGAAACATCGTATAAAGAAATGTACAAAGAACTGATTTTGACGAGATCGGTTGACATGACAGCCGGCCAATCATGAGTGTGCGGTCACGTTAAGCCCCGCTTAGTTATACCGTTCTAGTTCGACTATACGAACACACACAGCATTCCGTGATTCTTTATCGAGTTCTAGTTCGAAACGATGCCAAGACCCTAGTTTCGTTATACGACGTTTCTTTATACGACGTATCGTTAGTAAGCGTACACACATACAATTTCATCATATGACTATCCCAAAACGGTTTCGGGATAGCTATACGATGAATTGTGTGTGTGTTGACACGGGGTATAGTGTCCAGCTTTTATATTTCCTTTAGATGGCCATCATTTGTGGAAACGCGTGGGCTTCACTAATTTAAGTCTCAAACGAATAACATTTCACCTACATCTGCTATTAAACCAAAAGTTCGTCCCATTTATTGCTAGCCGTTCGTTAGCCAGAAATAAATAAACACATAAAAAAAAAACCTTTGGTAATAAACTCAACAAGGTTTAGCACTAATATCAACATCATTAACGAGTAAGACAAATACCATTAAAACTTGTGTTTGTGCAGATTTTTACGTTCTCAACCAACTTCACTGGCGATCGTCATATCCCGAGCAGCGATAGTACGGGTAAGAGGGGTGAGGCTCAAGGCATAAGTCCCCCCTCCCAATGAAGGAGGAATACACATATTGTAATTGGTAGGGTAATTGGGGGCATTATTTTTATTTAGGGTATTTGTTATTTTCACTTATAAGATGTATCGCGCCTCTCTCTCTACCTCTCCATCTAATAAATGAAAACGGATACGTTTTTAGGATAATTAAGAGGCTAGTATTGGAAGATTATTTTTTTTATTCGACGAGATGTAATTATATATCTTCGCTTATTCTGTATACTAGATAATGCAAAATTGATCCATGAAGCAATGTAAAATGATTACTTTTTATTACCTGTCATTAATGAACACCTATTCATTAATTGTCTTCGTGGATTGTACGAACTAACACATTAATATATTGATCCGCCATACACCCTTTAAAGACCGTCACCACTACTGGGTCAAAAGGGATTAGACCACACAGCGAGGTCACTGACAGGTGGCTATCTCATTAACTCAGCTCTCAACTAACATAAGAAAAAGAGGATCATGGGGGACCAACAGGCACCGATTGGAGAAGTTTTCCATGTAGAGGGAGCAAGTAGCTACAAGTAGGACAGTGGGGCTTTAAACGATAATATTATTTAGACATTCGATATACCATGCATGTTCCATGATTGTTCGATCATACATTTTTAAAGGGACTTGATAACTAGATGTGGCACTGGTTTTTTAACATATATACCAAATGTGTCCACAAAAGGGTCAAAAATGAAATAATGTTTACTTACTTCAAACGTGTATTTTAAGGATCAGGACTATTCCTTTTTTTGAGAAATGCCAGTTTTGGAGCTTAATCTATCTCTTTATTTATTCACCAGATATGAATACTATGAGTTCTTACAATTTTATTGTGAACTATAGCATATCTAATAACTGTGATATAAAACTCATTTGCTATTAACTACACCTTTAAATATGTTGGGTCTTTAAGAATATGTTTTAGAGATTATCCATGCACATTTTTGAGTTTCTATCTTGAAAAATACAGATTTTGTATCCCTTGAAAGTGAAAAATAGCTCTAAATAT